TGTGTGTGTAGATACATGGTGTGTGTGTGTAGGTACACGGTGTGTGAGTGTAGCTACATGGTGTGTGTGTGTAGCTACATGGTGTGTGTGTGTAGGTACACGGTGTGTGAGTGTAGCTACATGGTGTGTGTGTGTGTAGGTACATGGTGTGTGTGTATGTACATCGTGTGTGTGTGTGGGTACATGGTGTGTGTGTGTAGCTACATGGTGTGTGTGTAGGTACATGGTGTGCGTGTAGGTACATGGTGTGTGTAGCTACACGGTGTGTGTGTAGCTACATGGTGTGTGTGTGTTGAGGTACATGGTGTGTGTGTAGCTACATGGTGTGTGTGTGCAGCTACATGGTGTGTGTGTGTGTGTGTAGCTACATGGTGTGTGTGTGTAGGTACATGGTGTGTGTGTAGGTACATGGTGTGTGTGTGTGTAGGTACATGGTGTGTGTGTTCAGGTACATGGTGTGTGTAGCTACATGGTGTGTGTTCAGGTACATGGTGTGTGTGTGTGGGTACATGGTGTGTGAGTGTGTATGTACACGGTGTGTGTGTGTATGTACACGGTGTGTGTGTGTATGTACACGGTGTGTGTGTGTAGCTACACGGTGTGTGTGTAGGTACACGGTGTGTGAGTGTAGCTACATGGTGTGTGTGTGAAGGTACATGGTGTGTGTGTGTATGTACACGGTGTGTGTAGCTACACGGTGTGTGTGTAGGTACATGGTGTGTGTGTGTAGCTACATGGTGTGTGTGTAGCTACATGGTGTGTGTGTGTGTAGGTACATGGTGTGTGTGTGTGTGTAGGTACATGGTGTGTGTGTGTAGCTACATGGTGTGTGTGTGTGTGTAGGTACATGGTGTGTGTGTAGGTACATGGTGTGTGTGTTCAGGTACATGCTGTGTGTTCAGGTACATGGTGTGTGTGTGTGACTACAAGAGGTGTGTGTGTGACTACAAGGGGTGTGTTTGTAGGTGCAAGGTGTGTATTTAGGTACAGGATAAGAGAACCGTGTTTGTTGATTTAGTTTTACTCTCCCGTGCACGGGACGCTGAAAGCAATCGGTCATTCTTCGAGATGGGAGTAGACCACGTGTGTATGAGGTTCGGTCAGCCGGGTCCTCGAGGCGCGAGTGACTATTTATACCTCTCAGCAGCGCGCTTGATTGTAATTACTGGTGATTCCCCCCCCACCCCGCCTTAATCGGCATCATCAGCTGCAGCAAAAAAAACAGCTGCAGCAGCAGCATCACCAGTAAGGGCATCAGCTTACGACTTCATCACCCGCACCGGCCAGATCTCAGAAGCGAAGGAAGCGCCGAGCCTGGCTCGGTACTTGGACGTGGAGCCCTGCCTGGCTGCCTGGCTGGCTGCCTCGACGGGTCCTCAGGTTGTCAGGGTTGCTGGTGCGCTTCGGCTTTGGCCAGCCACGAGGTGGCGGAACGGGGCAACGGATTATTGCATTCATCTGTGCGGAGCTGTCAGCGCGACGTCGCTTGGAAGTGGGTGCGGGGGGGGGGGGATCGATGGCAACTCCCAAGGTCGCGTCGCCCTTCAGCAGGGCGAGGTCGGAGTCGAGGAGGAGGTGCGCGTTCACACGGAGGGCGTCGGAGAGGGAGAGCGACTTTATTGAGTGTGGACGACCTCGCGAACGCGGAGTGGAAGTTACGACTCCGATTTTGTTTTCAATCATGTGAGAGTCTCAGAGGCCAGGGTTAGTGTCATTTGCGAAAGTGGGCCGGGTTATCACCTATGCGACCATTTTTTTCCGGTATTAAAGTTACGATAAAAAATATAATGTAATAGGCAATTAAACACAATGGCTGAGGCAAAGCATATTTGGAAATGAAATTATTTATTTATCAAGGACACTTTTGGAGGAGGGTCCTGAATTGTTTTTTTTTTAAGAGGTTTTTCAGGCAACTAATGATGAATTTTGATTTTCAAAATTTCTTGCTGTGGTTTTCACACCTGATGATGATTGCTTGTTTTGCAGTCGAAACGTCGTGATAATTTTATTGTTTTATATTTTTATTATTTAATTGTTTCCCTTCTACGTGACTTTACCGAAAGAACCTAGAATATAACTAATGATGAGTTGTGATCATTATTTATTATTATACGTGTGGGAGGAAGCCAGAGAACTCGATCCCCCTACAGACGGAAACATTTGGCGATTAGTGCACTTGCTCGACTGCCATCTCCTGGCGAGGCAGGGAACTGCACTTCCTCGTCGCCCACGCGAAGGGAGGTTCAGAGTCCACCCGTGTGGCGATCCACCAAACCTAGCCGCTGACTCCACATCACCGGAGCGCAGACAGCAGCCACGTGCAGGGTAGCCACCACCGCCGCTCGGCTCCAAGTACGGCCACAAAGGTGGACACTAAAGTCCAAGAGGACTTTCCCGTCGTGGAGACACTCATCGGGAGGACGGTGCGAGCTTGAGTGGAGCAGTGAGCCTGGGTTCTTGGGAGTCGGTGGCGATGCAGAGTTGGGAGTCGCCATCAAGGAGGTGGTGGTCGATGTCAACCCCGAGATGGAGATGCAGTGAGAAGAGCGTTGGGTTGGGGCAAGGATGGAGACTTTATGGGACACCGTAGCACGGGGGGAGGGGGTGATTGTGAGAGGAAGAGAGTCCTTGTATGGGCATAGAGAGAGCGGTGCGAGTGGTAAGAGCACAGACCCAGGAGAGTTGTGTGGTAGTGGCGGTGGTCGTGGTGGCGGTGGTCGTGGTGGCGGTGGTCGTGGTGGCGGTCGTGGCGGTGGTGGCGGTGGTCGTGGTGGTGGTGGTGGTCGTGATGGTGGTGGTCGTGGTGGTGGTGGTCGTGGTCGTGGTGGTGGTGGTGGTCGTGGTCGTGGTGGTGGTGGTCGTGGTGGTGGTGGTGGTGGTCGTGGTGGTGGTGGTCGTGGTGGTCGTGGTCGTGGTGGTCGTGGTGGTGGTGGTGGTCGTGGTCGTGGTGGTGGTGGTCGTGATGGTGGTGGTCGTGGTGGTGGTGGTCGTCGTGGTGGTGGTCGTCGTGGTGGTGGTCGTGGTCGTGGTGGTCGTGGTGGTGGTGGTCGTGGTGGTGGTGGTCGTGGTGGTGGTCGTGGTGGTGGTGGTCGTGGTGGTGGTCGTGGTGGTGGTGGTCGTGGTGGTGGTGGTCGTGGTGGTGGTGGTCGTGGTGGTGGTGGTCGTGGTGGTGGTCGTGGTGGTGGTGGTCGTGGTGGTGGTGGTCGTGGTGGTGGTGGTCGTGGTGGTGGTGGTCGTGGTGGTGGTGGTCGTGGTGGTGGTGGTCGTGGTGGTGGTGGTCGTGGTGGTGGTGGTCGTGGTGGTGGTGGTCGTGGTGGTGGTGGTCTAGCGGTCAGCGCACTGCGCTACGAACCCGGTGACGCGATATCGATTCCCGCTCACGGCCGACATCGGTGACTGATATTTGAACCGGTCCTGGGCCTCCTCTAGGTCTACTCAGCCTCAAATGAGTTCCTGGTGCGCTGTGTAAACATCGCCACTGGGGAGACAAAGGCGGCCGCGCACGGTGCTGGCCACCCACCCTCGCGTGCGCCGTTCCGTCCTTCATAGGTGCTGCTGGCTAGCAGCGCTTGCCCCAACAGTCCGTGAAGGCTACACGGGGGGATCTTTGTCTCTGGTGCTGTGGAGTGGCCCACGGCGCGAGGCGAGGAGGACATTGGGCAGGGATTGACCCCCGCCGATCCCGCCCCTGCGGCCCCTCCGGAGGGGTCGCGAGGGTTCGGAGTCGAGGTCCGGGGCTCTTGGGGGGGGGCAGGGGGGGTCGTCGTCGTCTTCGGCGGCAGCGAGGGGCGGCGCGGGAAGGGGGACGGAGGCGGAGTCTGGGGGGAGTGCATGGATGTATGGGCGAATAGGTGAGTGGATGGGTTAGGGGCCGTTCATAATTGACGTCACGCACCTAGGGGGGGTGGGGAGGGGTCAGACATTTGTGACGATGTGTGACGATGTGTGACGAGGGGGGGGGGGGGTGAGAAATGTGACGTCACATCAAACTTTAAATAAGTATATAATCGTTATAACAACACTAATTGTTATAACACTCCTACAACATCAGAGTGCAGCGCCACATTAAATACCCACTGCAATGACAATAGCTTAAAGCGATTTGAAGCGTGTTTTATTTTCAAAATGGAAATATGGTTTTGGGGGAGGGGGGGCAGAGCTTTGTGACGTCATATTTGAGGGGGTCTGACTTTTTGTGACGCCGTGTGACGAGGGGGGGGGGGTCAAAAATCGCGTGACGTCATTTATGGACGGCCCCTTAGTGAGTGAGTTAGTGAGTGTGAATAGGTGAGTGCATGGATTATGTATGGGTGAATAGGTGAGTGGATGGGTTAGTGCGTGAGTTAGTGAGTGTGAATAGGTGAGTGCATGGATTATGTATGGGTGAATAGGTGAGTGGATGTGTTAGTGCGTGAGTTACTGAGTGTGAATAGGTGAGTGCATGAATGTATGGGCGAATAGGTGAGTGAATGGGTTAGTGCGTGAGTTAGTGAGTGTGAATAGGTGAGTGCATGGATGTATGGGCGAATAGGTGAGTGGATGGGTTACTGGGTGAGTTAGTGTGTGTGTGACTAGGTGAGTGGATGGATGAATGGGTTGAAGGATGAGTGGGTTGGTGAGTGGGTGAATGAGTGGATTGGTATGTTAGTAGGCAAGTAGATTTAATGGGAGGATGTTATCGGTGAGTGAGGGCAAATAGTTGAGTGAGTTTATGGGTGGATGAGCGATACTCGATTAAGTGGATGTGTGAGTGGAACAGTAGCTGTGTGAGTGGGTAAAAACGTGAGTGGATTGGTGGGTGAGTGAACAGGCGACTGAATATTTGGAGGAGAGAGTGAATGAGTTGTTAATAGCTGAGTGGGTGGTGGCTGAGTGAATCGTTGAGTGGATTGGTGAGTGGGTGGATGGATGGATGAATGACTGGGTGGATGACCGAGGGAGCGAATAGCTGAGTGGGTGGATGGGTGAATGAGCGAGTGGGGGGGGTGGAGTGGCTGGGTCTCTGGGTGGGGGCGGTGTGCGGAGCTTCGACGCTGCGTAGCTCCGTGGGGCTGAGACTGAAGCAGCAGTAGCAGCCGCAACGACATCAGTCATCAACAACAACAGGATCAGCAACAGCAGCTTGTAGACATCAGTTGAAGCGGCGATACGTGGAGCCAGGTACGAGCGTGGTGTGTGTGTGGTGTGTGCGTGGTGTGTGTGGTGTGTGTGTGGTGTGTGTGTGGTGTGTGCGTGGTGTGTGCGTGGTGTGTGGTGTGTGTGTCACTGTCTCAGTGCAACGTGCTCTCTGCCTCTGTTGTGTTCCGTGCGTGTCGTCTGTCTGCGCGCGCGCCCGTTTATTATACCGTCTCATGCATTGGCATGCGCGTGTGTTCCGATGTGTCGTGGTTGTGTGTACATAGATACATGCGTGCGTGCGTGCTCGCGTGTTCATGTGTGTGTGCACGTGTTCATGTGTGTGTGCGCGTGTTCATGTTTGTGTGTGCGCGTGTTCATGTGTGTGTGTGCGCGTGTTCATGTGTGTGTGCGCGTGTTAATAAACGTGCCCGTTAATGTTGCGTGTGCCTTTGTGTATTTCATCGTGTGTGTGTGTGAAATGTGTGCGTAGGGTGATTGTATTAACGGACGTGTTGATTGAGTGTAAATGTGTGTGATGTTTGTGTGTGTGTGCGCGTGTGTGAATGTGGCTCGTTCAATGCGTCTTTGTGGTGTGGTTTTCTTGACCGTGCGTTCAGCGTGCGCGTTGATCGTGTCGACCTTCGTGTTGTCGATTGCGCGCGTGGGTTGTGATGGTGTGTGCACACCAATCGTCCGTGTGTGATCATTATAAAAGAATCGCGTGTTGGTGCACTACGAACCCGGCGACCCGAGTTCGATTCCCGCTCACGGTCAACACCGGTGACGATTATCTGAACCGGTCCTGGGCCCTTCCGTAGGTCGACTCGGCCTCAAATGAGTACCTGGTGCGGTGCGTAAACATCGAACTATGGTCGCCGGGTTCCAAGGGCAATGCGCTGACCACCCACCCCCTCGTGTACCGTGCCGGCCTTCATAGGTGCTCGCTCATAGCTCTTTCCCCAGCAGTCTGTCAAGGCTACACGGGGGACCTTTGTCTATGTACGTTTCTGTATGTCCTTGTGTGGGGAGCGGTGGCGTAGTGGTCAGCGCATTGCGCTTGGAACCCGGCGACCAGAGTTCGATTCCTGCTGATGGCCAACATCAGTCGCGAATAATTGAACCTGAGTCTCCCCTAGGTCGACTCAGCTTTAAATACGTAAACATCAGCACTGGGGAGACAAAGGCGGTTCGGTCGTAGTGCTAGCCACCCACCCAGTCGTGTGCCGTACCGGCCTTCGTAGGTGCCCGCTAACAACCTGTAACGGCGATACGGGGCGTGCGTGTATCCGTGTGTGTTTGCGTATCTCCTTGCTTGTCTGTGCATGCGCTTGTCGCTGCAGTTCGTATATACAGAGCGCAATCATCATCACGAGCAGCAGCATCATCAGTCGCATGCTGGTAATTCTAATGGCGTGTTTGTTAATGATTCATGGGAGGTGAGCTCCCCCGTGTTACAAGAGAACAGAGGTTACGCTCATTAATATAATAAACAACATCATCAACAAAATCATCATCCCAGCATTCCCATTGGTATATTTAATCGCATCACCATCGTCATGATCATCAACCTCATTGGCATCATAGGCATCGTCAACATCATCATCAACCTCATCAACATCATCAGCAGCAGCATGATCATCAACTGCATCGTTTTGGTGTAATAAATCCCCTAAACCCTGATCGTCATCATCAACTCACCAACCACATGGACACCATCCAACCTCGTCAAACCTCATCAAGCCTCGAAGCTCAAGTGAGACTTGGCTGGAAGCAATGAGTAGGATCATTATTCCATAATATCGTCGTAGGAATGTGGAGTGTCCACCACTGGCTTCAGTAACACCAAGGCCTTGCCCCCGTGGATGAACGTCGGGGGTTGGGGTCGAGTCACGGGTAGTGGTTGGGCTTAGGGGCTTGGGGTTAGGGCTTGGGTTTAGGGGTTGTTATGGACTTGGGGCTTAAGTTGCAGTTATCGTTAGAGTTAATGTAATGCTTGAGATTAAGGTTATGGTAATGGTTGGGTTAGGGTTATAGTTGTGGCTGGGGCTACGGTTGTAGTTATGGTTGTGTGTTAGGGTTGTGGCTATGGTTGTGTATTAAGGTTGTGGCTATGGTTGTGTGTTAGGGTTGTGGTTATGGTTGTGTGTTAGTTAGGGTCGTGGCTATGGTTGTGTTAGGGTTGTGGCTATGGTTGTGTGTTAGGGTTGTGGTTATGGTTGTGTGTTAGGGTCGTGGCTATGGTTGTGTGTTAGGGTTGTGGTTATGGTTGTGGTAGGGTTGTGGATATGGTTGTGTATTAGGGTTGTGGCTATGGTTGTATGTTAGGGTTGTGGTTATGGTTGTGTGTTAGGGTTGTGGTTATGGTTGTGGTAGGGTTGTGGATATGGTTGTGGGTTAGGGTTGTGGTTATGGTTGTGTGTTAGTTAGGGTCGTGGCTATGGTTGTGTTAGGGTTGTGGTTATGGTTGTGTGTTAGGGTTGTGGTTATGGTTGTGGTAGGGTTGTGGATATGGTTGTGCGTTAGGGTTGTGGTTATATGTTAGGGTTGTGGTTATGGTTGTGCTCGGGTTGTAGTAGTGATTGGGTTAGGGTTGTGGTTGTGACTGGGGTTACAGTTTTTATGGTTGTGGTCGTGGTTGGTTAGGGTTGTGGCTATGATTGTAGCTATGGTTGTGTGTTAGAGTTGTGGTTATGGTTGTGTGTTAGAGTTGTGGTTATGGTTGTGTGTTAGGGTTGTGGTTATCGTTGTGGTTATGGTTTGAGGTTAGGTTTGAGGTTGCGGTTCGGTTTCGGATTTTGGTTGCGGTTGGGGTCAGCGTTCACTGTGGTGAGGCTGAGGGGTTTGGATGGTTGCTGTTGTGGCTAGGATTGTGGTTGTCATAGCGGGTTATGATCACGGCGGAGATTTCAGGGTTACGGGTTATCTGCGGTTCCGCTTGGGGTGGTGGGACTGTTGTTGGGGTGCGCTGGGGGTCGGGTTGCCGGTGGTCTTGTCGAGTCGCTTGGTTTCCACTTTGCGCCGCGACCACCGCCGCCGCCGCATTGCGAGCTCGGCGAAGCGACACGGTCGCTCGCAGCCCGAGCGAAACACGGACACGCCGCAGCCAAGACAAAGGTGCCCTGTATAGTCTTGACAGACTTTTTAGGGCAAGTGCTGTTATCGAGCACCTGATGAAGGCCGGCAAGAGTGACCTGGGTCACCAAAATGACAAAAGCAATTAAATCAAAAGCACATCGACGAAGCGAAGAGAAATCAGTGAAAAAATAACCACGGTACAGGAGAAATATCAAATATGGTCAAGAGAATACATCTCTCCGGTGGCGAAAGTCGGCTCGGACAAAACGCGCCCAGTACCCGCGATGACTGTCGCGTAAATTCCCGGGGGGAATTGCTGCCACCTCCGTTGAGGAGCCACTGCCGTGGGAGCCGCGGCGGTGGCGGCGAGCGGCGCTCGCACCGAGTGAGCACCGGGCTCCTTCCCTCTGGCCGCTAGCGAGCAGCCCGCCCGCGTCACCATTGGCGAGCAGCCACACAAAATACGGCAGTGTTAGCGGCGGTGCAGCGGTCAGCGCGCCGCGCTGCAAACCTGGCAAGGGCCGAGTTCGATTCCCCGGCCAACACCGGCTCACGGCCAACACCGGTGAAAATTATCTGAATCGGTCCTGGGCTTCCTTCCTGGTGGGGTGTAAACATCGCCACTACAGAGACGATGACGGCCGGGCGGGGTGCTGGCCACGCACGGCCTCGTGTGCCGTGCCGGCCTTCGTAGGTGCCTGCTAACAGCACTATAGGGGGGGGGGCATCTTTGGTCCGGTTGATGGTAGTGGTGGCGATGATGACGATGATGATGGTGGTGGCTGATGACGATCTCTCCTCTCACCAGGCTCACCTTTGCCACCTCTCCCACCTCCCTCGTCACCTTCCGCGGCCGCCTCCGCCCGCCGTGCTCCTCGTCCCCCCCGGGGGGCTCGGAGCGGCCACCATGGGTGGCCTGCGGCTGCGGGGCCTCGCCCGGGGCGGCCTCCAGCTGGGCCTGGCCGCCATCGCCCTGCTGATCGCGCTGAGCGGCGCCGGCGCCGCCACCACCGCGGCCGGCCCGCCCGCGGGGCCCACCTCCTCGCCCGGGGGGGCGACCGCGACGACGGCAACGGCCAATCAGAGCCAATCGTGCCTGGGCACCTACACGTGCATGTCGGGCATCCTGCTGCCCATATGGCTGCCCAACGACCCGCCGCTCCCGGACAAGGTGGCGCGCGCCCTCGTCTATTTCGTGTGCCTCATGTACATGTTCCTGGGCGTGTCGATCATCGCCGACCGCTTCATGTCCTCCATCGAGGTGATCACGTCGCAGGAGAAGGAGATCACCATCAAGAAGCCGAGCGGCGAGACCGTCACCACGACGGTGCGCGTGTGGAACGAGACGGTGTCCAACCTCACGCTGATGGCGCTGGGCTCGTCGGCGCCCGAGATCCTGCTCTCCGTCATCGAGGTGTGCGGGCACCACTTCGAGGCGGGCGCCCTGGGGCCCAGCACCATCGTGGGCAGCGCGGCCTTCAACATGTTCGTCATCATCGCCATCTGCGTGTACGTGGTGCCCGACGGCGAGACGCGCCGGATCAAGCACCTGCGCGTGTTCTTCGTGACGACGGCCTGGAGCGTCTTTGCGTACATCTGGCTCTACCTCATCCTCGCCGTCTTCTCGGAGGGCATCGTCGAGGTGTGGGAGGCGCTGCTCACGTTGGCCTTCTTCCCCGTGTGCGTCGTTTTCGCCTGGGTCGCCGACCGCCGCCTGCTCTTCTACAAGTACGTGTACAAGCGCTACCGCGCCGACAAGCGCCGCTGCGTCATCGTCGAGTCCGAGGGCGAGCGGCCCAAGTCGTCCATCGAGATGGACGGCAAGGGGGCGGCGACAGCGGCCGGGGGGGGCGCGACGGCCGTGGCGCTGCAGCTCGACGGGCCCGACGTGGCCGACGAGCCCGAAGCGGGCGAGGGCCGGCGCGAGATGTTCCGAATCCTCAAGGAGCTCAAGCACAAGCACCCGGACAAGGACCTGGAGCAGCTGACCGAGATGGCCAACTACCAGCTGCTGAGTCAGCAGCAGAAGAGCCGCGCCTTCTACCGCATCCAGGCCACGCGCAAGGTGCTCGCCCCTGCCTCCTCGGCCGCTCCCGCTGCCTGGTTTGAATCTGCTGGGCTCCTGGCCCCAATCGCAGCGCGAATATTTTGGTTTTGTAGGTGACAATGGAGGAGCGGTGGACGTGACGAGAGTCTCGCTGTCAGCAGCTCCGTAGTGGCCGATGGGAGATGACGTGGTGTCGTGACGATGCCGTGGTGTCATGCGTAGCACCCTGAAACCGCAATCCAGAGGTCGCCGGTTCGATTACAATGGTGCAAGTTTCCCAAATCCCCCCGCTCCCCACCCCCCACATGTTAACACGTGGTATACAGGAGGTCGTGGGTTCGATCCCCACCCTACCGCCTGTATATTTGGAGTTTATATATACAGGCGGTAGGGCCGCGTTGATTTTTCTCCAGGCCCTCGGGTTTTCCCCTCCACATTTAAAATCAACATCACACGTATTATTTGCTGCTGTAAATTTTCACTTCGTTGAGCTATCATTTGTGGTCGCTTTTGAAAAAAGAGCTATACAGCTCAGTGGGGTCTTCCATGGTGACATAAAAAGAAAAAGTTTATTTTGAGCTTACATGGGGACACCATGGTTAGTCGATCGGCAGGCAGGTCGCGTGTGGTGGGGTAAAGTGTGGGTACGCCCACCTCTCCCAACAGGTCGGGTCAACGTGGACGAGTAGGCCAAGCACCGTCTCCAAGTCGCGAGCATCGTTTTTTTTAACTTTCCACCTTAATAAAAACTCCCCCCCACCCCCCCCCCCCCCTCGCAAAAGTCTTCGCTCAGCCGCAGCTAACGAATACCCGGGACAAGAGAGACAAGGATCTCGTACACGGGAGGTCACCTGGCTAGATACAGGACGTGGTGTTGTAAGACCCTCCCTGTAGGAAGCAAGGTAATTCAAATTCCTATTTTTAAAAGCGATTAAATAATGCAGCTAAACAAAGGCCACTGTTCTGCGCAGTCGGAACACTCGGAGGTTCCTGGAGGCCTGGGGCTAAAGGCTCGGGGAAATATGGGGGGGGGGCCTTGTTAATTAGCGAGAAAACAGCCCCTGTGGGGCCCTCTCTTGTGAGGCCCTGGGTAAATTGTCCCTTCCCCCCTACCCCCCACCTGCCGTGATGTACCTTTGTAATCAAAGCAAATCCGTATTCCTACGCTGCAGGGCACGGTGATGACTAATTACATCGCTGATCATGTTGAGCGGCGTTCTGTCGCCGCCGCCGCCGCTGCCAAAGCAGGCAAGCGAACAAAGATTGAAAAGTTGAGGCCCGAAGAGCCAAAGGTGCGGTTGGGGGGGGGGACAGCACTCGTGGCTGGCTGGCTAGCGGTAGGGGCAGGAATATAATTCCCCCGGCTGCTGCTGCGGCCCTCCGATCGCGTCACCAGCCCCTCCCCCCCCCCTCCCCCCTTTTGTGCCGCCAGATGACGGGCGCCGGCAACATCCTCAAGAAGCACCTGCTGGAGCAGGCTCGCCGCTCGGCCAGCATCACCGAGATCCACGTGGAGGCGGGCGACGGCGCGGGCGCCGCCTCGGCGTGCCGCGTGTTCTTCGAGCCGTCCTCGTACCGCTGCCTGGAGAGCTGCGGCGCCTGCACCCTGACGGTGGTGCGGCGCGGCGGCGACCCCCGCGCCACCCTCTACGTCGACTACCGCACCGAGGACGGCACGGCGAGCGCCGGCTCGGACTACGACCTCGCGTCCGGCACGCTCGTGTTCCGGCCCGGCGAGACGGAGAAGACGATCAGCGTGGGCATCGTCGACGACGACATCTTCGAGGAGGACGAGCAGTTCTTCGTGCGGCTCAGCAACTTGCGGGCGGCGCCCGGGGCGGGAGACGAGGAGGGGGCGGCGGAGGCCGGGCGACCGGACGCGGTGGCGGCGGCGGCCGTCGCGCCGTGCCTGGCGACGCCCGACGTGGCCAGCGTCACCATCCTGGACGACGACCACGCCGGGCTGTTCGGCTTCGAGGAGGCGGCGGTGCGCGTCAGCGAGAGCGTGGGCTGCGTCGAGGTGCGCGTGGTCCGCTGCTCGGGCGCACGCGGCTCCGTGCTCGTGCCGTTCGCGTCGGTCGAGGGGCGGGCGAAGGGCGGAGGGGAGGACTACGAGGACGTCAGCGGGGAGCTGCTCTTCGAGAACGAGGAGAGCGTGTGAGTAGACCGAGCGAGCGCGCGCATCCACCGGCGTCGTCACCGCCGCGGTCGTCGTCGTCGTCGTCAACTTCGATGTAGTCGTCAGCATCACCACCGCCGCCACCATTCATCGTCGCTATCATCAACGCTGTCATCGGGCTCGCACCGTCTCCTCAGCCGCCCCTTTGGGTGGAGTCTCCTTCCACCAGAACCGTGAACACCAATGGTGTCATCGGCATTATCACCATCGCCACCACGACGATCATCAGCGTCGGCATCGAGCAACCGTTATCATCGTCGCCATCGCTATTGTGACGTCGTAACTAATGCCACACACGTGACTCGTGGACCCACGTGGGGAGCCTTCGGTCATGGGTGTTCAGTCAAAGCGCCGTCGTCATGACTGATTTGAGAGTCGTGGGTGCCCATGGTGTGTGCATGTCACGTGTTTTGTGAGTGTTTGGGGAGCGGTGGCACAGTGGTTAGCACACTGTTCTACAAACCCGCCACCCCAGTTCCATTTCCGCTCACACCCAACATCGGTGTCGAACATCTGAACTGACCCTGGGCCTCTCCTAGGTTGACTCGGCCTCAAATGAGTACCTGGTGCTATGTGTAAGCATCAGCATTGAGGAGACAAAGGCGGCGGAGCGTGATTCTGGTGCGCCGTACTAGTTTTCATAGGCGCTCGCGAACGGCACTTGGCCTGTGTATCGTTCCTTCTCCGGCAGTGTTATTGATTCGCGTGTTTTATTTTGATATGTGCCATATGTAGGCTATACATGGCATGTTTGTGTTTGTTCACGTGTGACGGGTGGTGTGTACTCGGTGCCTGATGTGTTTGTCATGCGTGTGTGATGTGTGTGTGTGATGTATGTATGTTATACCAGTACCTGTGATGTCGGTGCAGGTGATGTGTGTGATGCCTATATGTGTGATGTCTGCATAATTGATGCATGTGATGTGTGTAAGTTTACGTTTGTGTTGTGTATTTTTCTGCGCCAAGTGAATAGAGCCGAGTGGTGATTTATGGACACAGTATTGACATTGGGTAGAGGTTACTTGTGATATATTTATATATAACACAACGAGAGGAAATTGCCGCTGCTGTTGCAGCAGCGGTAATACATGGGGTAATTAAAGGAAACATAATCACATTTCCTTTCGCCGTGAGTAGTGGGTGTGTGTTAAATTGTGTGCTGGCTTGTGCGCGATATTGAGTGTGTTGGGAATGACCATGCCAAGTGTGAGTCTTGGCGGCGTTCGCCGTGAAGCTGTGTGGGTGCGTGCGTGTTCGATAAGCGTGGGGAGCGGTGGTGCAGCGGTTCCCCGCACCGCGCTACAAACCGGGCAACCCGAGTTCGGTTCCCGCTCAAGGCCAACACCGGTGACGATTATATTGAACCGGTCTTGGGGCCTCCCCTAGGTCGACTCAGCCTCGAATGGGTACCTGGTGCGGTGTGTACACCGCCACTGGGCAGACGAAGGTGGGCCGGGAGTGGTGCTGGCCACCCACCCCATCGCACACGATTCCAGTGTTAATCAATAGGTGATCGCTCATGTCACTTTCCCCAACAACCCCTGCGATCAGGCGGAGAGTGTTTGTCGTTGTTTCATTCGCACGCCATCCACATGTGCGCTTTACAAGTGTATAGGCACGATCGATAGGTCTGTATTATAACCGTGGGTCTACTATAGCATGATGTGTATTATGACGGTGTACAGGATTATGATGTGTGTACAATAGGCAGGTGTGTATAGTGATGTGTGTACACTAGATAGGTGTGTATAGTGATGTGTGTACACTAGGCAGGTGTGTATAGGTGTGTATAGTGATGGGTGTACACTAGGTAGGTGTATAGTGATGTGTGTACACTAGGTAGGTGTGTATAGTGATGTGTGTACACTAGGTAGGTGTGTACAGTGATGGGTGTACACTAGGTAGGTGTGTATAGTGATGTGTGTACACTAGGTAGGTGTGTATAGTGATGTGTGTACACTAGGTAGGTGTGTACAGTGATGGGTGTACACTAGGTAGGTGTGTATAGTGATGGGTGTACACTAGGTAGGTGTGTATAGTGATGTGTGTACACTAGGTAGGTGTGTATAGTGATGGGTGTACACTAGGTAGGTGTGTATAGTGATGGGTGTACACTAGGTAGGTGTGTATAGTGATGGGTGTACACTAGGTAGGTGTGTATAGTGATGGGTGTACACTAGGTAGGTGTGTATAGTGATGGGTGTACACTAGGTAGGTGTATAGTGATGGGTGTACACTAGGTAGGTGTACAGTGATGGGTGTACACTAGGTAGGTGTACAGTGATGGGTGTACACTAGGTAGGTGTATAGTGATGGGTGTACACTAGGCAGGTGTGTACAGTGATGGGTGTACACTAGGCAGGTGTGTACAGTGATGGGTGTACACTAGGCAGGTGTGTACAGTGATGGGTGTACACTAGGCAGGTGTGTACAGTGATGTGTGTACACTAGGCAGGTGTGTACAGTGATGTGTGTACACTAGGCAGGTGTGTACAGTGATGAGTGTTCGATGTGGGGAGGGGAAGCGGCAGATTGAATCTGTGGGACGCGTCGGCTGTCAGAGCTCGGGGTTTGTATCGCGACGCCTTCCGCACTTCTCCCTTCATTCAAACGCCACTCAGAGTGCGATGGGAGAGTCTGGCTGTGTCTCTGTGTGTGTCTGTGTGTGTCTGGCAAAAACAACCCCCTACCTCCTCGCGGTGCCATACGGGCAACTCTGTCGTGGACAGTGCTGTGGGGGGAGGTCCAATTCCGATTGGCCTCCCCCCTCATGGCGTCTGTGACCACCACAGTGGCTAAACGGGGGCTCTGGAGTGGTTACCAGCAATAAATGAAAGTTGCAAGCAAGGAGGCTGCAATAAATGACCACTAAACCACGAATTAAATATGTAAGCTTGTGCCAGAGGCCAAACCCCAATTGACGGAGCCAGGAGATTGAATCTTTACCTTCGGGGCTCCTCCATAAACAACGAAAAGCCACTTCGTTTGGCCAGGTGGAATGTTCAAACGCTCACTGTGAAGGAGAGGCTACCACTCCTCTGTCGGGAGCTGGACCGGTACCGCCTGGATCTCTGTGGCATTCAGGAGGTCCGGTGGACTGGTTCTGGCTCCTGCCACCATGAGGGATGGACAGTCCTCTACTCCGGGCAGGAGACTGCCAAATAACAGGGTGTGGCTATTCTTTGAACAAAAGAATGAAGGGGGCGTGGGAGCGTGGCGGTGAGGTGTGGAAAGCTGTAAGCCCCAGGCTACTTTGGGCTCGCCTTCCTATCAACCGGAGGCGAGGAGTGGTGGTCGTGGTTACTTATGCCCCCACCGAAGACGAACATCCGTGGAGGGATGCAGCCGACGAGTCAGATGCCTTCTATGACCTCCTGTCACAGGTGCTGGCTAAAGTGGCCCCTCAGGATAGAGTCATCTTGTTGGGTAACTTCAATGCCCGAGTTGGTCATGATGCTGGCACCTGGTCTGGAGTGATTGGAGGGCATGGGCCAAATCAGCTCAATAACAACGGTAGGAGGCTGCTAGATTTTTGTGCAGTCCATGGGCTTGTAATTACCAACACGCTGTTCCGGCATCGGCGCATCCACACAACATCATGGATGCATGCCGGGTCCAAGCAAGAACATTGGCTGGACTACATAGTAACGGACCAGCGGATGAGAGCCCATGTCCTTGACACCAGGACCTACGGTGAAGCTGATCTGCCCTCTGACCATCGACTAGTCATCTGTAAGATGCGCCTGCCATTCTTCCACTTCGGTGGTGGGTGTACACCCAGGACCCCATTCCAACCTAAAGTGGCCTGGTCTCAGTTAGCTGATGAAAGTTGCAAGCGAGAATTTCATCATCGCTTGCGGCTGGGGTTGGCATCGTCCCCCACTCATGATGACGAGGGAAAATGGGCGAGGTTTAGGACTGTGACTCATGCAGCTACAATAGCTGCTTTGGGTACGCGGTCCAGACCTCCCCAGAGACCCTGGCTGACAGAGGAGGTGTTCAGGATAGTTGAGAAAAAGCGACAGGCCCACTCTCATCGGCTACAACATCCCACGTCAAAGAATGAGGAGGCATACCGCAGCCTTCGCTCGGAGGTTCGGAGAGCCGTGAGGCGCTGCAAGGATGGATGGTGGTCGCGGGTTGCTGAGGAGATGGAGTCTGCCTCAGTGGCCCGCGAGCACAAATCCCTATTTAACTTCATCAAAAAAGTAACCTGCAGCGCCACACCTATTACCATCGTTAGGGGGGAAAACGGTGATCCAATCTCCGACCCCCAGGAACAGGTTTGCAGATTTTCTGAGCATTTCTGTGAGGTCCTGGGGTAGGGGAAATCCCTCAGCAAGGAAATCATCGTGGCACAAAGTGGGGATGACCCTGCTGAGGCTGCGGTGCCTCAAATATTGGAAGAAGTCACCCACTGTGAGTGGCTGGCTGAGGTGCCATCTGTTCAGGAAGCACTGAAGGCGATCCGGAGTCTGAGACCAGGAAAGGCACCGGGCAGAGATTATCTCCCAAACGAAATGCTGAGGGAGGGTGGCGTTGGTGCACAGACTGCCCTACATGACATCATAACAACAGTCTGGACCACTGGACGGGTTCCACAGGATTGGAAGGATGCCCTGGTGGTCCCCCTCTTTAAGAAGGGGGACCGCACAGACTGTAACAACTACAGGGGCATCTCACTCCTCAGTGTGCCGGGAAAGGTCCTGGCAAGGATTATTCAACATCACCTTGCCAGGCACGCTGAGGAGAGGCTTGCGGAGCCCCAATGCGATTTCAAGAAAGGGCGGTCCTACACAGATGCCCTATTTTCTGTCCGTCTGCTACAGCAGAGGTGTAGGCAATTCCAACAAGACCTACATTTCTGCTTTATTGACCTGGTCAAGGCCTATGATACCATCAATAGGCCTGGGCTCTGGGTTGTTCTTCGTGCTTTTGGAGTCCCTGACCCTCTGCTCACGATCATTAAGGACCTTCA